ATGACCCCCCAATGGCGGCCATGACACCCCAAGGGCGGCCATGACCCCCCAATGGCGGCCATGACACCCCAACCGCAGCCATGACACCCCAACCATGGCCATGACACCCCAATGGCAGCCATGACACCCCAACTGCAGCCATGACACCCCAACCACAGCCACGACACCCCAACTGCGGCCATGACACCCCAACCGCGGCCATGACACCCCAATGGCAGCCATGACACCCCAACTGCAGCCATGACACCCCAACCGCGGCCACGACACCCCAACCACGCCTGTGCTGACCTCGGCGGCCACGACGCCCCCGTAACCCTCCCCGCCGCCCCTCAGGTACCACGATGCCGGGCGACGCCTTCGCGCAGGCGCGGCGGGAGCTGCTGGCGCACCTGGAGGCGGCGGCGTGGGCGCCGTACCGCGCCTCGCCCGAGTTCAGCCGCTTCGTGCAGTTCAAGTGGCTGGAGGGCCAGGCCGTCAACGCCGACGCCTTCGCCGAGTTCCGCGTGCTGGGCAAGGGCGGCTTCGGCGAGGTGTGCGCCTGCCAGCGCCGCGCCACCGGCAAGATGTACGCCAACAAACGCCTCAACAAGAAACGCCTCAAGAAGCGCAAGGGATACGAGGTGGGGGCAGACGGGTGTCCCCAGGGGTGTCCCTTTGTCCCCTCAAATGTCCCTTTGTCCCCTCAAATGTCCCTCTGTCCCCTCGGCGGTGCTGCGGTGCCCACGGGGGTCCCCTCAAATGTCCCTCTGTCCCCAAACCTGTCCCTCTGTCCCCAAACCTGTCCCTCTGTCCTCAAATCCTGTCCCTCTGTCCTCAAATCCTGTCCCTCTGTCCTCAAATCCTGTCCTTCTGTCCCAAATCCTGTCCCTCGGTCCCCTCAAATGTCCCTCTGTCCCCAGATCTGTCCCTCTGTCCCCTCAGCTCTCCCAGCAGCCTCTCAGTGGTCCGTCTGTCCCTCTGTCCCCAAATCCTGTCCCTCTGTCCCAAATCCTGTCCCTCTGTCCCAAATCCGTCCCTCTGTCCCCAAATCTGTCCCTCTGTCCCCAAATCCTGTCCCTCGGTCCCCAAATCTGTCCCTCGGTCCCCAAATCTGTCCCTCTGTCCCCAAATCCTGTCCCCCTGTCCCTGTCCCTGTCCCTGTCCTGGTCCCTGTCCCTGTCCTGGTCCCTGTCCCTGTCCTGGTCCCTGTCCCTGTCCTGGTCCCTGTCCCTGTCCTGGTCCCTGTCCCTGTCCTGGTCCCTGTCCCTGTCCTGGTCCCTGTCCCTGTCCTGGTCCCTGTCCCTGTCCTGGTCCCTGTCCCTGTCCTGGTCCCTGTCCCTGTCCTGGTCCCTGTCCCTGTCCTGGTCCCTGTCCCTGTCCTGGTCCCTGTCCCTGTCCTGGTCCCTGTCCCTGTCCTGGTCCCTGTCCCTGTCCTGGTCCCTGTCCCTGTCCTGGTCCCTGTCCCTGTCCTGGTCCCTGTCCCTGTCCTGGTCCCTGTCCCTGTCCTGGTCCCTGTCCCTGTCCTGGTCCCTGTCCCTGTCCCTCGCTCCCCACATCTGTCCCTCGGTCCCCAAATCTGTCCCTCTGGCCCAAATCCGTCCCTCTGTCCCCAAATCCTGTCCCTCGGTCCCCGTGTCCCTCGGCGTGTGCCACCTGCGTGTCCTTGGCATGTCCCGGTCCCTGTCCCCTTCTCCACACCCCGTGTCCGTGGCAGTGCAATGCCATGTCCTGATGTGTCCCTGGTGTGTCCCTGTCCCTGTCCCTGTCCCTGTCCCTGTCCCCTGTCCCTGTCCTCTGTCCCTGTCCCTGTCCCCTGTCCCTGTCCTCTGTCCCTGTCCCTGTCCCCTGTCCCTGTCCTCTGTCCCTGTCCCTGTCCCCTGTCCCTGTCCTCTGTCCCTGTCCCTGTCCCCTGTCCCTGTCCTCTGTCCCTGTCCCTGTCCCCTGTCCCTGTCCTCTGTCCCTGTCCCTGTCCCCTGTCCCTGTCCTCTGTCCCTGTCCCTGTCCCCTGTCCCTGTCCTCTGTCCCTGTCCCTGTCCCCTGTCCCTGTCCTCTGTCCCTGTCCCTGTCCCCTGTCCCTGTCCTCTGTCCCTGTCCCTGTCCCCTGTCCCTGTCCTCTGTCCCTGTCCCTGTCCCCTGTCCCTGTCCTCTGTCCCTGTCCCTGTCCCCTGTCCCTGTCCTCTGTCCCTGTCCCTGTCCCCTGTCCCTGTCCTCTGTCCCTGTCCCTGTCCCCTGTCCCTGTCCTCTGTCCCTGTCCCTGTCCCCTGTCCCTGTCCTCTGTCCCTGTCCCTGTCCCCTGTCCCTGTCCTCTGTCCCTGTCCCTGTCCCCTGTCCCTGTCCTCTGTCCCTGTCCCTGTCCCCTGTCCCTGTCCTCTGTCCCTGTCCCTGTCCCCTGTCCCTGTCCTCTGTCCCTGTCCCTGTCCCCCTGTCCCTGTCCATGGTGGTGCCATCCCACGTCCCTTGTGTGTCCCTGTCCCTGTCCCTGTCCCCCTGTCCCTGGTGGTGCCATCCCATGTCCTGATGTGTCCCTGGTGTGTCCCTGTCCCTGTCCCTGTCCCTGTCCCTGTCCTCTGTCCCTGTCCCCTCTCCCTGTCCCTGTCCCTGTCCCTGTCCCTGTCCCTGTCCCTGTCCCTGTCCCCTGTCCCTGTCCTCTGTCCCTGTCTCTGTCCCTGTCTCTGTCCCTTTCCCTGCCCTCTGTCCCTGTCCCTGTCCCTGTCTCTGTCCTTGTCCCTGTCCCCTGTCCCTGTCCCTGTCCCTGTCCCTGTCCCTGTCCCTGTTGGTGCCATCCCACATCCCTGACGTGTCCCCACCATGTCCCTGACGTGTCCCCACCATGTCCCCGCCGTGTCCCCGCCGTGTCCCCGGCCGGCGCAGGCGGCGCTGGTGGAGAAGCGGATCCTGGCGCGCGTCCACAGCCGCTTCATCGTGTCCCTGGCCTGCGCCTTCCAGACCAAGACCGACCTCTGCCTCGTCATGACCATCATGAACGGCGGCGACCTGCGGTACGCGGGCTGCGGTGGCCTTGGGGACACTGGGGTGGCCTTGGGGACACTGGGGTGGCCTTGGGGACACACTGGGGTGGCCTTGGGGACACACTGGGGTGGCCTTGGGGGGACACTGGGGTGGCCTTGGGGACACTGCGGTGGCCTTGGGGTGACCTTGGGGTGCCCTTGGGGTGATCCTGGTGTCCCCTTGGTGTGACCTTGGTGTGACCCTGGTGTGACCTTGGTGTGACCCTGGTGTGACCCTGCTGTGACCTCTGTGTGACCTCTGTGTGATCCTGGTGTCCCCTTGGTGTGACCTCTGTGTGACCTCTGTGTGATCCTGGTGTCCCCTTGGTGTGACCTCTGTGTGACCCTGGTGTGACCTCTGTGTGACCCTGGTGTGACCCTGCTGTGACCTCTGTGTGACCTCTGTGTGATCCTGGTGTCCCCTTGGTGTGACCTCTGTGTGACCCTGGTGTGACCCTGGTGTGACCTCTGTGTGACCTCTGTGTGACCCTGCTGTGACCTCTGTGTGACCTCTGTGACCTCTGTGTGACCCTGCTGTGACCTCTGTGTGACCTCTGTGTGATCCTGGTGTCCCCTTGGTGTGACCTCTGTGTGACCCTGGTGTGACCCTGGTGTGACCTCTGTGTGACCTCTGCGTGACCTCTGTGTGACCTTTGTGACCTCTGTGTGACCCTGCTGTGACCCTGGTGTGACCCTGGTGTGACCTCTGTGTGACCTCTGTGTGACCCTGCTGTGACCTCTGTGTGACCTCTGTGTGACCTCTGTGTGACCTCTGTGACCTCTGTGTGACCCTGCTGTGACCCTGGTGTGACCCTGGTGTGACCTCTGTGTGACCTCTGTGTGACCTCTGTGTGACCCTGGTGTGACCTCTGTGTGACCTCTGTGTGACCTCTGTGTGATCCTGGTGTGACCTCTGTGTGACCCTGGTGTGACCCTGGTGTGACCTCTGTGTGACCTCTGTGTGACCCTGGTGTGACCTCTGTGTGACCTCTGTGTGACCCTGGTGTGACCTCTGTGTGACCTCAGCGCGTTTCTCCTGGCACCGCGTCCGGCCTGGCCTTGCCGTGTGTCACACGTGACGGGGACAAAGGGGACACGGGCAGTGCTGGGGTCTCCGTGTCACATCCTCAGGGGCTGGCGTGTCCCCGTGTCCTCGGCGTGTCCCCAGCGTGTCCCCAGGGCCTGCGGCATCCTCAGTGTCCCCAGAACATCCCCACAGCCACCGCGCCGGTGGCACACGCTGATTGTGTCCTGGCCGTGTCCCTGCTGTGTCCACCATGTCCCTGATGTCCCCAAATGTCCCCAAATGTCCCCAATGTCCCCAATGTCCCCAATGTCCCCAATGTCCCCAATGTCCCCAAATGTCCCCCAATGTCCCCAAATGTCCCCGATGTCCCCAATGTCCCCAATGTCCCCAATGTCCCCAATGTCCCCAATGTCCCCAAATGTCCCCGATGTCCCCAATGTCCCAAATGTCCCCCAATGTCCCCAATGTCCCCAATGTCCCCAATGTCCCCGGTGTCCCCAATGTCCCCAATGTCCCCAATGTCCCCAAATGTCCCCGATGTCCCCAATGTCCCAAATGTCCCCCAATGTCCCCAATGTCCCCAATGTCCCCAATGTCCCCGGTGTCCCCAATGTCCCCAATGTCCCCAATGTCCCCTCAATGTCCCCAATGTCCGCGATGTCCCCGATGTCCCCAATGTCCCCAATGTCCTTGATGTCCACCAATGTCCCCTCAATGTCCCCAATGTCCCCAGGTACCACATCTACAACATGGATGAGCAGAACCTGGGGTTTGCAGAGCCGTGAGCGCTGGTGTCCCCAGGGTGTCCCTGTGGTGTCCCCGATGTCCCCTCAATGTCCCCCGATGTCCCCTCAATGTCCCCCGATGTCCCCGATGTCCCCAGGTACCACATCTACAACGTGGACGAGGAGAACCCGGGCTTCGCCGAGCCGCGCGCGGTTTTCTACACGGCGCAGATCCTGCTGGGGCTGGAGCACCTCCACCAGCACCGCATCGTCTACCGCGACCTCAAACCCGAGAACGTCCTGCTGGACGACGCCGGTGACAGCTGGGGGGACATTGGGGACATTGGGGACATCGGGGACATTGGGGACATTGGGGACAT